AGCCGGTGCAGCATCGGTTCGAATAAGGAATGGTCCGCGAGGAACCGGGCCTCCCACATGAGCAGCAGTACGTTCAGGGCGCTGCGCCAGTCGCTTACCCGCACGAAAGCGATGAATAGGCTGTCGAGATGCGGTTCTTGGCATTGGTATTCGTAGATGTTCATGACCCGCAGAACGTCCGAGGCAAGGTCGGGGCGCGCTTTGAGGGCCGCGACCCGTAGGGCCAATAGACAATCGCCCTGGGTGGGCTGAATGCGGAAAACGTCCACGAATTTGCGCCAGCAGTGGAACGAGGGTTCGATATGGTTATGCTCCGCCGCGGAGCGGAACAGCCGAATGTAGGTGCTGGCCTTGAGGGACCCGCTCCGCTGCTCGCAATCCAAAAGTAATTGGAACGCCTCGCCCGTGGCATTATTATCGCACAGGGCACCAATGATTTGGTGGGTAGTGGCGTCGGTAGGCTCCAAATGGTTCCCACGCAGCACCGTATACAGCCGCAGGGCCAGTTCAATCTGGTTATCGAGGCAGTAACTGCTAATCAGGTACTGATAAGTCAAGGAGGTGGTTTTAATGCCCTGGCGGCTCATGAGATCGTAGACCAGTTGGCAGCCGTACGAGTACCGGGTATAGACGGCAATCCCCATCACCTGGTGGAACGGACCCACGGTTCGGGAAATTTTGTGCTTGATCATCTGTTTCAGCGCGGCGTAGGCCGCGTTGAACTGGCGGTCGACTCGGTAGGCATGGAGTAAGTGGCGGTAGGTCTCCTCCGTGGGTCTCAGTCCCCGGTCGACAACTTCCTGGCACTTGAGCAAAATTCCCTGACTATCGTTTCGTTCTTTCAACCGTTCCATGCTCAAGTGGATCCAGGAGAGGGACTGGGAGGTAGTGCTGCCAGCGGGAGTTTCCATAGTAGGTGTCGGCTCCTCAGGGGGGCCGGGCCGGCTTGGGTCCATAGTGTGTGACAAGGTGGGGTCTGATGATAATAGAGACGGCGCATTATCTTTCAATGGATCGGCGGTATTCAGGCCCAACTGGTGAAGGTCAATATGGTCACCGAAAAAATCTTCAATCAATAAACCCTCTTCGCCAGACGGCGGTGGTGGGTCCAAAGAACCATGACTATCGTCTTTTCGGTTTAAACTAGTGGTATGGAAATAGGCGGATCGGGCTGTGGAGTAGAATGGATAAAATAGTTTCAGTAATTAGATTCCATTAGCCATGAATATGGAAATAGCTATGATGGTGGGAAACCCAGTGACTTTTGATTGCTCTTAAGTCGCCACGTATTAGGGTTCTGGAAAATGCAGTAATCCCAAGAAAAGGTAGCATTTGTATCAGCCTGGTGGGGCTTTTTGGCAATGGTAATGTATTTGGTTATGATTACGGTTTAAAAATCGATAAGGGTGTTTTACTTACCTAAATTAGCCGGAGTGATAAAGTGCCGGGTGGATATATCGAGCGGCTTCGTTAACCAGCGATTAACCCGAACAGTCGGTACCGGTGCCCGTAAGGAAATCGTTTGTCTCAACCAGAGGGCCAGCATGGCGGACTCAATGCGTGGAGGGAAAAATAAAGAAATGTGGATAGGTTGGTGGATTCGACCGGGGCGGTGCTGTTCAATCAAGGAAATAGCACATTGAACGTCAAAACAGCCGGACTCTTGACTGGCATGGACCTGCTCCTAAAGTAGGTTGGGGGGGGGGGTAAATCGAAGGTGCTTGCAAATTGGAATATGTCTATTAAAGGCAGGAGGAAAACTTAAGAATCGTTGGAACTAGCCCTATTTGACAAGCCCCTATTTCTTCCATGGACTCGAATCTGACTCGACCAGGGTGATTGCTTTATTACGCCTTCCGTATACTTTGCTAAACGATACGACACGTTCACTATACCCCCCCCCTTATGCCTGTAATCCAGGCCAGTAATGACCATAGAAACAACAGCGATTAAATTATGGTCCGGGGAATAGGATGGCTTTGGATCACATGATTGAAACTCGACACTGGCCAGCCAATGTAACTTGTACCAAACCAACAATGACCCAGTATTTCAGATTATGGAATATCTAAACTACAGTGCACTTCTAGAATTGAGTCACTAAATTAGCTGTGAAGGAGGGGTACACTAACTTAGCCCTAACTAAGTATACCTCCTTTGGTTATTTTACACAGCTTCACCCTGCACAACTAGGTACCCTCTTATCATAAAATATTTAAAATAGTCGGTAAAATTGATCCCTCAACCCAGTCGGGTAGGTAATTAATTATATGGAATTTATGAAATAGAGCAAATTGACGGGCACTAAACAGGTAAAGCAATGAAAGTCGAACCAGGAGGTACTCAGTTGAATAGACAGGTCTGGACTTTAAACTATACAGAATATATACGTATATATAATGCTAAAAAAATTAAATCGGCAAGGAGTTGACAAGCCAAATTAAGGCCACACCCCCATCCCCTCACCTTTATACTCTAAAGGGGAAATTAGTAGAGACTTAGGTGAGAGCACTACGGAGGCCTACTGGTCCTTCTTAGTATCCTCCTTCTCGTTAAGCTCTGGGGCAGCGGCGACAGTCGGAGTCGGGGTGAGAGCGGATTTTTTCAACCAGCCTTGGTACTGGCGATGATCGCCCAGGGCCTTGTACGAAAGAGCGCCGGCACAAAACAGGCCGCATAGAACGCGGGCCGTTTCGGGGGCCAATTCGGGAATCATCCATTCGATGATAGCATCCAACCAGGCGGCCCCAATCAGCCCCGGGTGTTGGTCATCGAAGCGCCAGAGACGAGTGCTGAAGATGTAGAACACCACAGTGGTGAACGTAATGCCCATATCGACGTTAGGGCGCTGGAAGAAAGTGGGCGTACGAAGAGCCCAACTGCGCTTGGACATTTGGATGACGTCTTCGATGATCCCACCGCCGCAGCCTAGCACCGTGCCGATGACCAGCATAGCCGTGAGGGACTGGCTGATGGGGCCGTCCATGTTTCGCACCATTTCCACCCCGGCCACTGTAACACCGTAGCCCCGGATGGCACCGTCCACGGCAGCCAGGAAGATATCGGAAGCCGGGGAGAGAAGGCGCAGGAGCTGGAATACGAAATCCCCGGGGAAGAACCCAACCGCCAGGTACACCAGGCCGTAGGTGGGGATCATGCCGTTATTCACCAACCAGGGTTGGGGATTGCCGAGAAGCGAGGCTACATCGATTAAGTAGGGTTGATATATCGGGATGGGACAATAGAATTGGTTAAATTTGGGATTAATGAGTCGCTGGACATGTACCCCACGAACAAAGCGGGGTATTCGCCCCAGTGAGTTCCGCCATAGATTGAGCCGATACAGGAAAAGACTCGCATTGGGGATTTCGATGCCATCTCTAACAAGGTAAGTGAATAGTGCAGTCGCCACTGGCAGCCGAGGCAGTAGCAGACCCCTATGTACAACGCCGTCTGGATAATAGATATAAAGAGGTACTTCGACTTACCAGAAATGATACCACCGCCAAACGACAGGGTTAGCAGGACAAAGACCTCATGCAGCATAGGCAAACGGCCGTTGATGTTAAGCATCTTGCGGACCTCGTAACTAACCCGCAGGGCGTGTAGGGTCATGGCGATGGCCACGGGCAGATGGGGACCCCATTCGGTGGCCAAATACACCGGGTAATTGGCCTCGGCGTGGGCTAGGTACTCTTTCACCATAGCTGAATATGGATGACTCGGGCGGGGAGGAAGAGGTGACTGGAGAAGCAGGGGAGGGAGTATACGGTTCAGTGAACAGGGCAGTATAGAAATGAAGTTGGAGTGGACAGAATACAAGGCAGGAATAGAACGCCAGAGACGAGGCTATGGGCTTAACAAGCGACCAGAAATGACGAATTTACAAAAGTCGGAATAGAGGGGAGGTGTGTAACCAAAAAGCTGGAAGACATACTGTGCAGAAGAAGGGCCCTGGACAGGAATAAATATAACTGGTGGTTGGGCCTGCGCATACACCAACCCTCCAACCCTTGCCTATGTATCCCATCAACTGATAATCAACCAGCCCCATGTGTGCCCTAGTCAACATTACGGAGGGTAACATTTCCCGCCCTCCACTCTACAATACCCTCCCGCTACAGGCCCGCGGTAAGTAAATGAGGAGGCCCTCCCCCCCTTTCCACAGTCCGCCAGCAGATTGAGTGGCAAGCGATGATTCCTCCTCCCACCTTTTATTATTGCCTAAACCGAAGCAATGTGACCTCCCCACTTCTGTAATATTTTGATGGTTGGAGATAGCTGCAAAGGTCTGCCTGGGAAACCAAACGTTGGGTCATCTGACTGCGGACCATGGTCACTGGAGAGGCCCCTCACCATTCTCGGAAAAAATACACCATGATTCCCGGCAACTAGGTTCAGCGTGACATATCCCTACTACTTTAATCCACATGTCAACCGCACCTATTCTCCCTGTGAAATGGGTAGACACCGCTCAAATTAGTGTGTGTGGGTATTTAGGAGTAAAGGAACAATGATGAAAGCCAGGCTGGTAATTTGGCCGTGTGGCATGTAAGGAACGACCTGTGATGTTTGATATAGAGTGGTGCTTAAGGAGTAAAGCAATGGATGTAAATGACCACATGGATTGTGTACACTACTGACCAAAAATAATAAGGAAACAATAGCAAAAGCTATATACTCACTATATCAAGCAATGCAAATTACTGTCGTATTTATCGCCTGCCTTCATCCAAAATATAGGTTGCTGAGTAAATCCTTTTTAACAGATATATTCATCAGGCAATGAATAACGCAAACTCAATAAACACCAACTATACAGTTGAGGTGCCAATAATTGACGAGATCAGATGAAAAATGACACGGCATGCCAACTTCTATCACCCCCACCTAGTAAAACAATGTAAATATTTATGAATAGATTCTCAAAAAATGAACGTAGTCCTGGTCATAAAATATACTAAAGGTCAAAGGTAAATATTTGCAAAAAAAAAAAAGTTCGTCAACAGCAGGATTTGAACCTGCGCGGGGGAACCCCATCAGATTTCACGCTCATTGGAATGAGGTTCGAGTCTGACGCCTTAACCACTCGGCCATATTGACTTATATGACTGTGTTGTGGTATTGTGGTGTGGTAGAATGACTAGTATAATAATAGGCGGGAATGCCTTATAGTCAAAAGATGTAGTAAAATCAAACCCTAGATAACTGTAGGTAAAACTACCGGTACAGTTCAGAAGAATGAAAAAAGAGATGTTTTATTAAGAGCTGCGATTCTTGGAGGTATTTATACTTAGGAGGTAGTTGAAGTTCAACCTACGTAGTATTACTGCTTGGATTGATAAATAATGACGAGTTTACGAATATATCTGGCTAATGATGATATCAAATATAAATGCGAATGATATTTGATGTATTTCTCACTTGCTATGATATTGCAAGGCTATAAAATAATAAATCAGGACTTCGTTGATAAAAGGATATAAAAATAGAAAAGGAATACTATGGTTAACTAAGTGGTCTCAGGTCCTACCACAACAGTGGCCGGACTAGCATGACCTTAGTAACTCTATTAATTCCTACATTTAACTTTCTTCAGTCTCGGACCTTCCCTCCAAAAGAGGACGGACTGTACAAGCTTTTCAATTCTTTATATTCTACTGGAGTGGCAGACTTTCTGACCACATACCTCGGTGACACAATGCTCTTTCTCATTAAGGAGCTATGTAGTTATAGTAGTAATAGTTGATATATATATAATCTAGCCATTCCCCACAGGGTGAATGGCAATTCCTCTCCTAGCTTCAATTTTCTTATTTTCTTTAGCAATTATTTTAAACCAGGGTCGTACTGGAAACTACCTGCGACTATTTTCAATAAATCATCATTTATCTATATCTATAACCCACCATTTTAACACATTTCCCGTTTTCAGACGTGATTGGCACAACAACTGGATTGATCATAATTATTACACATACTGTTAAATAAAGACAATTAGAATTTGTATCGATCGAGGGCTTGCTAAATGTAAAGATTTTCAGCTTACTGAGTCATCCAAGAACTTAGAGAAACACATGATGCATAGGATGAGCCATTTATACGGAATATTTCCTCTAGTAGGTCATGGCATGCCAGAATACCTATATATACACAAAGGAAATTAGCGAATATTAACTGCTTGTAATTAAATAATGGGAATCGATAGAAACCCCAAATATAGGAGACATCCTTGGATAGTCTTGAGGAACACCAAGAAGTGCAGCATTCAACTTGATTTATTATGTAGTAAATAACTGTTGTAAGGATCAGCTGTTCAAACCCCCTACAGGGCAGAGTGCTATAAATTGATGGACTAATCAAAAGCTAAATGACTAATCCATAATCATAATTTAGATCTCAGCAACACTTCACATGCACCATAAACTGGAATCACTGAGAAATTCTTATAGTTTTTTACCATGTATTGGATATACAGTTATAAATAGACGTGATTCCCCTGATTATCACTAGGCATATGGTTTAGATGCAATACTTAGATATCGTTGTTATTTTCTATTGCTTGAACTCGCACCTGTATTCCCTTCCAAATAGCATTGCGACATATGCCTCTCTTTATAGTAAATAATATATCCAAAATTGGAACCAAAGCTGGAATATGCCAATATAAACCCATTTTCGATTTCGAATATTATTTCAGTACACCTAAAAAAGGCAACTCGGTTAACCACTACGTCAGGTCACAAGCTCGCAGGGAAAGCAGGTATTTCGAAAGATTACTTGTGGTGATCATTTGAGTCGCTTGATCGCGTACTTTAGCCTTATTTTACCTGATCTCGTCCCTCTTTCCTTATAATCAGTAACCCTGTGGAGACTATTTTGGAAAAAAGCGGATTAAATTAAGGAGTGTATACATTTTACGTTAGTTGTGGCGCTTCTGGCATCACTTCCCCCTCTCACACCCAACCACCCTGACCAATTCCCAATTAGGCGATGGAGTAAACATAACGGTACTCCACCTGCCCTGCTTTTACATTTCAAGATATGGGCCCTAAATGAGTATTTGCGTGTGAAGTCGATTCCACGGATTTATCCAGCATACGATCTCTGGACTCCCCCGTTACGGTGAACAGATGCAGAAACCAGCCAACCTTTGAGTCTCGATTAGGTTTACCAGCGCGTTGACCAGGCCTAATATACAGGCTTCTCGGCAGAATCCTCCTTTTGCGGCTGATTTCCCAGTAAGATCCGCCCATAAAAAGGCTCAGGATTACCACTACCCATACTGACTTGACCAGGGTAGTTGACTCAAGATCCCTCCATTCAGTCACCGAGAAGGCCAGAAATAAATGTAATTTAATTTATTGAAACCAAAGGTGACTGTAAATAGTGTATTATTCGTTTCCATGTAAAAAAAAAATAGGCATCCTCTCCCCTTCCCTATGGTGCATTACGGGGTTGATCTGGACTGCGTTACCTCTCGGATCGTTGTTATTCTGCCATTTCGCCTGCTGCTTACATTGGCGGGAAGGATAGGCGGATGGTCCGCTATGTCTGTCCGTGTCAGTATACCCTTGGGGGGCGACATGCGTTACCTTTGGCCCTATAACCGCTCTTTGACGATTACTTCTCTGGCTTCAACACGGTCAATCCCGGGGCTAAAATGTCTGGACCCTCTATATTTTCTCTTTAATGCTCACACTCGGTGCGACACTATATTCGCAATTTTGATGGCCACGATATTCAGACCGCATCATGGATCTATATTTAGCTCATATCAAGGCCAGGGTGTGCATTCAGCTGAGTCCTGTAATGAGTATATTAGTTAAATGATACCTGGGCCTAGAGAGACTGACTCTCGTCTCGCGCGTGCTCTTGTTTTTTTTCTTATTTCCTTCTTGTAAATGAAAGGTTACCTATACGAGGTTCTATTAACTACTGTGGTTAGGAAATTAAATAACTGTGGAAATTCTCCTCAATTACGATGGTCACCGAACGTATATCCACTGGCTCGACTGACCATCCCCACCGGTCTACCGTGGCAGCATGGCCCAAGGCATTTGATCAAATGGCCAGTTCGGAGATGGTCTGGAGTATCGATTATATGGAAAGGGGAGGGGGGGAATAATAGAATAGTGAACGCTGGTATGCAACTCCATAAATGAAGCCCCAGCGACCCACACCCACCTGGCTGTACAACTGTAACCATTTCTCCGCTAGTACTACCTTCCCACTTCTACCCCAACCAATGATAAGACTTAGTATACACTGGCCCGAGTCGGCCACCGTGGCAATCGGCGAATAACCCTCGTTCGTTGGGTGATTATGCGCCAGGCCAAGCCCACCCATAGCTCACCATGTAAACTTTCGAAGGGTACGAAGGCGGGAACGAGAAGGGCTTACAATGGGGGTGGGGGGCTAGGTCTTTGTGCATCTGGCTTCCTGCCCTTCAACACGTTGGTATTCATATATACCCCCCCCTCCATGCTGTAGGGTGATTATCATCGTAGATGCATGAAGGATAGCAATACTAAGGCCAGAGACACAATCTCGATGTTCGTGAAGACAAATATGGAAGCAAGAGACGGCTTCGCTCGGAGCGGAGCAGGTGTTTTTATTGATGCGGTGAATACCGAAGCTTGGGGATTGTTGGGAGGGTGTGAATACGCGAAAGTTATTAAAGAGCGACTGCCATTTATTTAATCTTTACGTTACATTTCAAAAATAAAATCAAAGGGGGACTAAATCAGCGGAATGTTTGTCAAAAATACAGCCACTATATCATCGAATCCTTTTTATTCGGCCCTTCGGGCGGATAGATAGATACCTCCTCGGGCAAAAGGGACTCCCAATTTTAAAAGGGGCATTAGCAAGGTAAAGAACAAAAAACGGCAGCCACGGAGGAAATAGGGCCAGGACGGAGACCGAACCGAGCTCATCAATCACCTTAACAAGGGGTCATTGTGAGTGTCAATGGGCCAATGTGACCGGGGGCCCCTCTCCTTTCTTTGTACCACTCTGTTCTCTGTGGTCTCCCTTTTCTCTCGCTCTCTTTATTACAGCCGCGGTATTACCAACGTCTGTGAGCTATACCTACCCATCTATCTTTGGGTCACCAAGGCGGCTGGATATGTAGAGGCAAAGGGGAGGGAATGGGCTGGCTGCAGCTGGCTTGGACGAGAATGCTCAGAGATACATGGGTTTAATGTGGTCGCTGACCTCAAAGATTGGCCCTGTGCCTTGGCACCTTCCCCCTTGCTCCCCGTAAAACCTACACTTCAGCTTGGCCTTCCCCTTTTTGGCCAGTATCCCGCCCCCTACTTCAATAACGAACTGGGCTCGGCTTTGGCCAGGCACGGGAACCACCAGGGCCCCCCCTCTCTCCCTCCTTCCTGTCCAATGCTTTGGCTTGGCCACCTTCCCCCCTCCATGTATATAATTGGCCTTGGCCTCCGCCTCCTCCCGCTGGCTGTTTACTATATATTGGCTGTCTGTAATATTTTCTCTGCCTTCACACTGGCATCGTTGAACTCACTATATTCTCTGCCTATTTTTTAGTATAGCGTGGCAATAGTGCACACCTTGTGACCCACTTCCATTTATTTATTTATCTATCTATATTAGCGACCAGCTAGCTGTGTGGCCCCCATATCCTCCTCCCCCTACACGTCACATTCCGAATCTTCTATATAGTGTTCACTTGGACAGAGTGACTAAGTGGGGATTTCTAACAGTGTACGCTTCACTTTCGCCCACCAGGCTAGTGAGCACCATTCCACAGCTCGCGGGGATCACCCCCTTCGCTCCTCGCCCTCTTATCCTTGCCATTAGCCCCCCCAATCTTACCACTTAAGCACTGGATTTCCTTGCCTCTGCTCCTTCTACCACATCCCATAGCCACTCATATACTCCCAACCCCCTCACTCACCTTCTCTTTTGTAGCGTCGACTTGAAAATCCACCGTCCGTCTCCTTCGACTCGCCTGCTATATAGTCATACACCAAACCAAGTCTGACTGGGTTAGTTGGTAAGATCACTTTCAACCGACACACCCTGCGTTTCATTCGTTGATTGACCTACTTTTCTCTCTCTCTCTTTCCTTC